CAGCAAAGAGCCAATCATTCCCCTATAAGTGGTAACATTAACAGGCTTTCCCGATGGATCAGTATCAAGCTTGCATTCAGGAGTCATCGGGGTTTTCACATGGGGTGTTGCTCTCTTGACCATATTTCTTTAGCAAATCATGAATGTACTTGGACTGATGAATAAAGATTACGTCAGAAATATGTTTAACTTGTAGTCCAAGAAAGAAATTCATTTCGCCCATCATTCTCATTTCGAACTTAGATTGCATCAGACTTCCAAACGCAGTGTAGAGGGCCGGATCAGTGGAACCAAAAATGATATCGTCAACGTAGATCTGAACAAAGATGATGTTAGAACCATGAAACTTGATGAAGAGAGTAGTATCAATCGTTCCTTTATAGAAGCCAGAATCAACCGGGAAATCAGATAATTCCTCATACCAAGCTCTTGGGGCTTGTTTGAGTCCATACAAAGCTTTATCCAGATGGTAGACATGATCTGGATATCTCTCACTGATGAATCCTTCTGGTTGATCAACATAAACTTCTTCTTTCAAGATCACGTTCAGAAAAGTTGTTTTGACGTCCATTTGATAGATGGTGAAGTTTTTATGTGCAACATAAGGCATGAACAATCGAATGGCTTCAATGCGTGCAACTGAAGCGAACGTCTCATTGTAGTCGATGCCTTCTTGTTGATGATAACCTTTCGCAACCAAACGGGCCTTATTGTGAATCACGATCCCGTCTTCATCTTTCTTGTTCTTGAAGATCCACTTAGTGCCTATGACTGATTTTCCAGGAGAACGACGCACAAGTGACCAGACTTTCAGTCTCTCTAACTAATTGATTTCTTCTTACATGACGATTATCCAATCAGGATCAGCTAACGCTTCAGTGACATGAGTAGGCTCAGTTTGACTTAGGAAACAGGAAAACAGACATTCATTCTCGGTAGCAGATCGTGTGCACACTCCACTAGAAGGATTTCCAAGTATAAGATCAGGTGGATGAGTACGATTCCATTTTTTGACATGAGGGAGCGGCTGAGCATTGTTGTTTGGTTGCTGATCAACATAAGGATTATTAGCATGAAGAATAGATGAAGATGAAGGATCAGTTTTCATAGACGTTGAAGTTTCAGTAGTGATTTCAGTCTCACCTGTGGTTGCAGAAGATGATGGAGTTGTTGCGGGAGTAGGGGTGGCATCTGTAGACGCAGTAGTGGGTGGAGGAGATGGATCATGTGGTTGTGGATTCTCGTAAATTTGGTCAAACAAATGATCGAGATCCACAGTGTTGGAATCGGGTGAGGGAGATGAGACGGGTAGTTGTGCTAGAACACCAGTGATATCGGGTTCTGAACTGATATGTCTAGAAGCCTGTTCTTCCTTCTCATCAAAGGTCACATTGATGCTTTCAATGACCTTCTTTTTGTCTTTGATGTACACTCTCTAAGCTTTAGACGAAGAGGAGCAGCCGATAAACACGCCTTCAATAACTTTTGGATCAAATGTGCTTCGTTCTTCCCTATCATTAGCCACGAAACATTTGCATCCAAAAACCCTTAGAAAAGAAACACCGAGAGTTCGGTGGTTGATCAGCTCATACGGTGTCTTTCCAAACCTTTTGTGAATTGAGGTCCTGTCCTCAGTGAAGCAAGCGGTGTTTATAGCTTCAGCCCAGAGAAAATTTGGAAGTTTGGAATGGATCAGCATGGTTCTTGCAGCTTCAACAAGAGTTCTGTTCTTTCTTTCAACCACCCCATTTTGCTGTGGGGTCTTTGCTGCAGAGAACTGCTGAATGATGCCTTGAGTCTCATATAATTCACTGAGTTTTTGGTTCTTGAACTCAGTGTCGTTGTCAGATCGTATGAAGAGAATGGTTGCCTGTAGTAGATTCTGTGTAGTACGGATGAAGGTGATGATGATGTCTGATGTCTCATCTTTGGAGTGTAAGAATCAGATCCATGTGTGTTTTGAGTAGTCAAGTAGATCGGCCTTTGTTGTGATTGCTGATGGATTTGATGGATTTCATCCCACAAGTCCATCTCAGCTTCAGTATAATCATCCTCACATTTTAATGTTTTACCAGCTGGTGTGGGGGGATTATTTGTTGTGATTGCTCGAACATCAACCCAAACTTCGAGTGGTCCTTCATTAAGAGAGATCAGAATATTCTTTCCGTTGTCTCGACTTCGAAAGAAATTGAGAAAACGGACTTTCCAGACAACAAATTCTCCTCTCCTTAGTAGTGGGGGTCGTGAGTCCCTTCCTAGTGTATAAGCTTCCATGATTGTTGTTGATCTTAAGGCGAGAACTGTTCAGATGAAAATAAGAGTTTGGTGCTGCTTTTAGAAGATTTCGGATGAAAGGTGAATCTCGGATTAAGAATTTGAGGAAGATCTCGGGTGCAGAATTTGGATGAGAAGATTTCGGGCCTGATCTCGGATGAACTTCCAAATTGAATTTCAGAACTTCGGATGAGATATTTGAAGATCTCGGGTCCGCGTTCCAAAGAATGGGATCTCGGGTGCTGCTACCGAGTTTGGTGATTTCGGATGACCCGCAATAAATAAAAAGATTTCGGATGCCCTTCTTCCAGATTTCGGGTGCACGATATCAGTTTCCGGAACTAGGATTTCAGAAGAACGAAAATAATAGCAACCTAAATCTGTTGGGATTCTCCTTTCTTGTTCTAGCAGCCTTTTACAACAGTAAGTTTCCAAGAACAGATCTAAAGATTAATTCAACCAAAAATTGTGATTTTGATCAAATTAATTCCAGAAAAATTCAAGGAATCAGATGAACAGAATTACGCCGAGGCTCTGATACCAATTGTGTGAACTATGTCCAGATTTCAACAGTCGAATAATCTAATAATAATTGAAATAATTAAAATAGTAGAAGAGAAATTTCACCAATAACGTATACCGTGTATATAGAATGATGAATCTATGAAGAACAATTACACAGTACTCGAAAAGCTAGAGAGAAAATTTCTAATCTACGTGCTCTACCAGAATAATATGCGGAATAGAATGTGTAGAGACTTAGAGAGCAGATTTGGCCATCTCAATCTATATTTATAGGAGATATATTCGAACTGCCCTATTACAATTAGGAATGCAGCTTTAGACGTGTGGGCTTATTAAGAGCACGATTAAATGGGCATAATTCTCTCTCAGCTAATCTAATTAAATACAAAGACTCATTAAACAAAATACAATTAATGTGAAGACAACAAAATAATATTCTAACAGCTTTAACCAAATCGCACCGATCCGAATCGAAACCAGATCATATGCAATTTGGTTTCTCACAAACCGTATTAAATCAAACTGGATCGAAATCTAGAGAAACCGAATAAAAATAAATGAAACTAAATAAATTCAATAAACCTTCATATGTTATAAAAAATGACTAATCCAAATTGAACCGAACTAAATTAAATCGAATCGAACTAAACTAAAAAGTAGTGTGATTTTTGTTTGGTAATAATTCTTCTAATCCGTATCAAATCAAACCGAACCGAACCGAAAATTGGTATGCACGTCCTCTAATTTGGAATACAAACAACAATACTGAATTGACATAAAAATTGTAAGTCTGGTGTGATGCTCATATACAAATAGAACTTGCCTCGAGGAGAAAGGATAAGAGGTAGTTTAACTAGGGGTGGATTGGTCCGGTTCCGCAAATTATTAGTTCATTCTAGGGATGAGTTCGGTTCTTTCAGTTCGGTTTTGATCTAAAACCAAATACGGAACCAAAGTAAAACGTTCGGTTCAGTTTTGGTTCGGTTTTACACTCCAAAACTTGGAACCACAGCTTGATTGGTTCAGTTTGTTTCGATTCGGTTTCGGTTTTTTTACTAAAATACTGTCATTTGATTTAAAATTGATATAATAGTTAAATGGATCAAACATATTACATAAAAAATGTAAGCATACTAGAACAAATAAAATAAACATGAGGAGAAATAAATATGTCCTGAATTATATAAGTATGCAGGAGAGATAAGAGTGTATATATTCTTAATTTACATTGTTTGTGACTAGTTTGAAAAAAGTTGATGAATATATACGCCTTATGTGATATAGTTGAGATGAATATTTATTTGTTTTATCAATATAAAACTTTAATTACATAAAAACAGAAGTTATTTACTACTAATAACCGGTAGAAGGATATCACCATCATCCAAAAAATTGCAACATACATACATGAAAGACATAATAGATCAATATGGTTACATTATTACAGGCAATGAATGTGTAAATGCATTTATAAACTAAACTAAACATAACACAAACATTATTTCTCTAGTACAAAAAAAACCAAAGACTATTGATGTTATTAGGATTAATTAGGATTAATGCTTAACAATTAACAAATAAAAGTTTATATTTTAATTAGTTTGGTTTGTTCGGTTCGGTTCAGTTTTGAAGGGTAAAAACCACAACCGAACCAAACAACTACGTTTTGGTTCGGTCTTTTACATTCGGTTTCGGTTTTTTAGCGGTTCCGTTTTATTTGACAGCGATTCAATTTAATTTGATTCGGTTTTCGGTTTTTGATTTCCGATTTTCGATTTTCGATTTTCCATTTTTTCGGATGCAACCTTAATTCATTCTACCTGATACTAGATTCTAGGGTACATAAAGTTTTTCTTTAAAAAAAACCTGCTAGTGGATAAAGAGCCATTATGGATGAGGCTAAAAGATAAGGGAAAAGAAATGATCTTTGGGATGTCATCTCTAAGGTCATTAATTTTGATATATATGCTATATACGGAGTATAAGTTTTTCTTGCCTACCCCTCCTCCATTCGAGTCTCCAACAGTTATATTGCCAAAATGACACACGTTTTTCACTACATTTCTTGCTTGGTGTTGAAGAATGTGAACTCAGCCCATCGGGCTATAGAGTAGATGTAGACTAGCCCGTGTCCATATGATGAAATAAGCCCAACTATATGTGTATAAGTACATAACAGCTGTTCATAATAAGAGTGTGGTCTAATATTGTTTACGTAGCATAACTGTCTCAACTAACTATTCTCTCAAGATGTAGTAGTGGTATCAGAGCTTCACGGCGATCATCAGCTATGGCCACCGGAAGTAGTAGTACTATGCTCGGAAATCTGCCTATTCTTGATTCCAAGAATCTGGATGGATATGAACGATGGAGTGTCAAGATGAAGACTATCTTTGGCTTTCAAGAAGTACTGGATATTGTCTCAAGTGGCATACCAGCTGTGGCGGAGGGCATGACAGAAGCTCAGCGTACTCAGGCTCGTGAGGCGAACAAGAAGGACTGTAAAGCTTTATTCTATATTCATCAATGCGTTGATGATGCCAATTTTGAGAAAATTGCATCCGCCACCACTGCGAAGGAGGCTTGGGAGATTCTTGAAGCCAGCTACGCCGGAATTACAAAGTTGAAGACTGCACGCCTTCAGACTTTAAGGAGACAGTATGAGTTAATCAATATGGAGGAACAAGAATCAATAGCTACATATTTTAATAGCATTCTACAGATTACCAATTTGATGAAATCGTGTGGGGAAACTCTGAAGCCGAAATCCATCACCGAAAAAATCTTGAGAACTCTAACCCCTAAATTTGATATCATTGCGGTTTCAATAGAAGACAATCGTGACCTAGACACCTTAAAGATTGAGGAACTTCAAGGTACTCTAGAAGCACGTGAGTAGAGATTGAAAGAAAGAGAAACCACCAAGCAGCCCACTGAACAAGCTCTATTAACTCAAACCCCCAAGAATCAAGAAGCCTGGAGAGGCAGGGGGTAGAAGAGGAGGTGGACGAGGCAGACGAGGTGGAAGAGGCCAAAATACATATGGGAGAGGTCAAAATTCTAATCAGTCTGGAGGACAAGTTAGAGGAGGACGTGGTGGTCCTTACAGAGGAAATCAAGGTGGTACACGAGGAGGAAATCCACACAATAGAGGAGGAGGAAGGTCTAACTTCACCTCAGGTTCCACACCAAAGAATGGAGGTAATAGAGGTAATGTTCAGTGCTTTGTATGCAGTAAATATGGACATTATTCATATGAGTGTTGGTATAGGGATACCACTAAAAATAAACCAGAAGAAGCATTGGCCACTCAAAATGATAGCAATGAAGAAGAAGAAGAAGTTCTGTTAATGACCACCACCGTTACAGATATGGACTTAAATCGAGAGAATACCTGGTACCTTGATACAGGGTGCTCAAATCACATGTGTCGCAGAAGGAGTTGGCTTACTGAGTTTGATGAGAATGCAGTGAATGTAGTGAGATTTGCAGATAACAGTATAGTCAGATATGAAGGAAAGGGAAATATCGTATTGACTTGTAAAAATGGGAAACAGGCTACGATTTCTGATGTCCTGTATGTCCCAAAAATGAAGTACAACCTACTGAGTGTAGGTCAGCTACTTGAGAAAGGCTATTCTGCATGTATGAAGGATGGCTTTATGAAAATATTTGACAAAAGTGATGTTCTGATCTTGAATGCTCCTTTGTCATCAAATAGGACTTTCAAGATTCAGATGAATGTGAATCAAACCATGTGCTTCAAGTCTGGTATACAAGCTGAGAGCTGGCAGTGGCAATACAGGCTTGGACATCTAAACTGCAAGAGTATTCAAAAGTTGGTAGGAATGAAAATGGTGAATGGACTGTCAACAGTATCATGTGGGGACAAACTATGTGAGTACTGTGTGACTTGGAAGCATACAAGGAAGTCCTTCAAGTCCTGGATTCCTTCAAGGAGTTCTGGTGTACATCAAATGGTATACTCAGACGTATGTGGCCCATTTGAAGTACCATCTATCAGTGGCAACCTCTACTTTGTGTCATTTACAGATGACTACAGTAGAAAGATGTGGATTTATCTCATCAAATACAAGTCAGAAGTCTTTTTCAGTTTTCAAGAGATTTAAGAAATTGGTTGAGAAACAGTGGCAAGGAGCTGAAAATACTCAGGACAGATGGAGGAGGTGAGTATGTAAATGGAGACTTCAAAGAGTTCTGCAACCAGGAAGGGATTGTGCATCAAGTGACGGCTCCCTACACACCCCAGCACAATGGAGTATCAGAAAGGAGAAACCGGACAATGCTCAATATGGCAAGGAGTATGTTTAAAACAAAAAATATGCCACATGTTTACTGGGGTGCTGCAGTAACTACAGCTGCATATATATTGAATATATGCCCTACCAAGAGACTGAATGGAATCACACCTGAGGAAGCTTGGTCTGGTATAAAACCTACAGTGAGTCATCTGAGGATCTTTGGATCTCTATGCTACAGGCACATACCAGATGAAAAGAGAAGGAAGTTGAGTGACAAAAGTCAGAAACTGATTCTAGTGGGATATGATCCTACTGGAGCCTATAAATTGTTTGATCCAGTTGAACAGAAGTGCATAATCAGCCGAGATGTGATTGTGGATGAGACAGCCACCTGGAATTGGGACAGTACTAATGCCTCAAATGGAAGGAGAATGACCTTAATTGGTAATGAATCTGAGGAAGAAGTGTCAGGGCTTAATATGGAAGAAACTTATATAAATGATGGTGAAAGGCTTGGTGGAACTGGTATTGAAACAAGACCAACCAGAGAGAGGAGAACCTCAAGTAGACTCACTGACTATGAGGTCTTTCCAGATTCAGTCATCACAGATGATGGTGATCTGGTACATCTTGCATTCTTGGCCGAGACAGAACCTATTGAACACTATGATGCAGTTAAGGATCCTAAATGGATGAAGGCAATGAAAGAAGAGTTGGCATCTATACAGAAGAATGATACATGGGAATTGGTTGAATTGCCCAAGGGAAGGAAGCATATTGATGTAAAGGGGGTATTTAAACTAAAAAAGAAGCCAGATGGGTCAGTTGCCAAGTATAAAGCTCGCTTGGTGGTAAAGGGTTTTCTTCAGAAAAAAGGATTAGACTATGGTGAAGTCTTCTCCCCAGTTGCAAGAAAGGAAACAATCAGAACAGTATTAGGAATTGCAAGCCTCAAGGAATGGAATCTACATCAAATGGATGTAAAGTCAGCTTTCTTGAATGGTTTTCTGAAAGAAGAAGTATATGTGTCACAACCACCATGATTTGAAGTTAAAGGTAATGAAAATAAGGTGTATAGGCTGAAAAAGGCATTATATGGACTGAAACAGGCTCCAAGGGTGTGGAATAAGAGAATAGACACATTTCTTATTCAATTGGGGTTTAAAAGATGCAGTGTAGAGCATGGGGTGTATAGCAGGTTGAAAGACAGTGATACACTTATCATCTGTTTGTATGTGGATGATTTACTTATAACTGGAAGTAGTGAGAAGCATATTGAGGAATTCAAAGATCAAATGAAGACTGAATTTGAAATGACAGACATTGGGCATTTGCATTTCTTTCTTGGTATGGAGTTTGTGAAAACCAGGGAAGGATTTCTAATACATCAGAAGCAATATGCAGAGGAAGTACTCAAGAGATTCAAGATGATGAATTGTAACTCTGCAGTTACACCATGTGAGACAAATCTAAAGCTTGGAACATGTGAAGATAAGGCTTCAGTAGATTCTACTCTATTCAAGCAAATAGTGTGATGCTTGAGATATTTATGTTCAAGTAGGCCAGATATTGCCTATAGTGTTGGATTGGTCAGCAGGTTTATGGACTGTCCAAAGGTATCTCACATGGTAGCAGAAAAAAGAATACTGAGGTATGTTAAAGGTACCATAGACTATGGTATCCTTTTGCCTAATGTTGTACATACAGAGCAAGGCATAATTAATGGGTATGCTGACTCAGATTGGGCTGGAGACATTGTGGATAGGAAGAGCACTACTGGATATATTTTCATGATTGGAGGTGCCCCAGTCTCATGGTCTTCAAAGAAGCAACCTATGGTGGCGTTGTCTTCTTGTGAAGCAGAATACATTGCAAGCTCATATGCAGCGTGTGAGGCAGTTTGGTTGCAGACTTTGTTGAAGGAAATGCAAGTTGAAGTAAATTGCATTCCTATACTGCACGTTGATAATAGCTCAGCTATCAGCTTGGCAAGGAATCCAGTATCTCATTCCAGGAGTAAACATATAGACACACGATTTCATTTCCTCAGAAATCAAGTTAATAGAGAAAGGTTGGAGCTAAGGCACTGCAGAACGCATGAACAGCTGGATGATATATTGACTAAACCTTTGAAGATTCAGGTGTTTCTAAACTTGAGAAGATTGTTGAACATTATCTCCAGTGCTGAGTTTCAAGGGGGTGTGTTGAAGAATGTGAACTCAGCCCATCGGGCTATAGAGTAGATGTAGACTAGCCCGTGTCCATATGATGTAATAAGCCCAACTATATGTGTATAAGTACATAACAACTGTTCATAATAAGAGTGTGGCCTAATATTGTTTACGTAGCATAACTGTCTCAACTCACTATTCTCTCAAGATCTAATACTTGGTAGATGAGTAACCTTGAGATTTCCTCAGTATATATAGGATTTACATAAGATTCCTTAAGTGGACACTTGATTATTTCCAGACTATCTAAACGTGGACAATGCAAGAGATAACCAATTAAAAAACAACAAATATTATATTTATCTTCTTATTTGAACGGTCTTATTCACTTTTGGTAAGTTGTTATCCACAATGTCAAACACAATGTGACGTAGACATTGTCGGGTCAACTGTATGCACGGGATAAACGGGAACCACACATATGTTGAAAAATGGAATAAAACTGATCAAACCATACCCATTATGTGACCCTTGGAAGCAGGGGAGGATCTATGTATGGGCTATTGGGGGTGTTTGGCAAATGGCTGTTGGCTGTTGGCTGTTAGCCGATTCTGTTGGCTGATTGATAATAGCGGATTCTGTTGGCTGTTTTGATTAGCTGATAGTATTGGCTGTTTATAGAACAATGTTTGGTTAAATAGCTATTTGCAATCGGCTGGTAACTTGTTAAATGACTTTTAAGGACATCAATTAATTCATCTACTAACCACTTTAATATTCGTATTACACATTTTATTTAATCTATTCTATTTTTATTTAATAAAGATAATATTTAACACAAGTAATATTTCTTGTAAACGTTGTTTTTCATGTATCAATAAATTTTATAAGTACAATTATATTTTGACTAATTAATGGAAGAATAAGTGCAAAATATACTAAAAAAGTTCTGTTAGAAAAATGAAAACATATTTAAATATCAATGTCACCATAATCAAAATAGTAATGACCACTTCATCGTAACAAATGATGTATCTTAAAAAATTCATAATATTGTCTAAGAGCGCCTTCTCGTTGCCATCAAACTAGATGCAATATTATCACGGATGACTGCCATTTCGCGAATTCTCATATGTTCAACGCTTTGTGCAGACGTTGATTCAACGTCACGGAAGATATCATCTGGTATGAAATCCGGATCTTGATCAATGATAGTAAAACCGGGATCCCCAATCGTGCTTTTCCGAATGTAGTTATGCAGTGCAAAACATGAACAAATTATCTTATTCTGATCACGTAATGAATATATGGGCATTTTCTGTAATATTCTCCATCGCGCCTTGAGAACACCAAAAGCCCTCTCAATGCAACTTCTTAGAGATGAATGTGCTCGATTAAATACTTCTCGAGATCCCCTTGGATTTGCACTACGAAACTCTGTTTGATGATACCTTGTCTTGAAGTAAGGTGTCAGATACCCTTGTCTCTCGGGAAAACCTTTATCAACCAAATAATATTTACCTACGTGTACATGCATAAAGTAAATAAATTAGAACATTTACTTGGCATGTGGGTAGTATTAAAAACTACTAACCTAGTGGTGGTTTTGGAAAATTGAGACTTGGGTTATAGATCGCGTCAAGGAAAATGCGAGCATCATGTGCTGTTCCCTCCCAGCCGGTCAAAACATACGTGAATAACAAATTAAAGTCACATGCAGCTAAGACATTTGTTGTTGGTATCCCTTTTCTTCCTCTATATCGCATTTGATCTTCCTCTTTAACAGTTATTGCAATATGTGTGCCATCAATTGCTCCAATGCAATCCTTATATTAAAAATCACTAAATTTTATTACACCAATAAATAAATGAATCAAAAGGAGCACAAACATAATATTAATTTACCTTAAAATATGGCATATATCTAGTATCATTGGCAATTTGTGTTGGAATCTCTTTGAACTCGGGATCTTTGGGTGCAAGTATGTCCCTTGAAAATGAAACCATGATATTCAATACCTCTTTGAAAATTCTACTCACAGTTTCACCCGAATGTTGAAAACGTTCTTGAGTATCTCTATTAGAAGAACCCTTACTCAGAACATAGACAAATAGGCCAAGTTTCTCCAATGTTGACATTCTACTTGAAGCCGTTAATCCATACTTTGTTTCCAAGTCTGAACACAATTGACGAAATGTACTTTGGTTCATCCTAAAAGCGTTAAAACACCGTTTTTCATGACCATACAACAATTCATCCATCCATCTTTGTCCTGTTAAGTATGATGTCATACAGCGTTCCTTATATATGTGATTCATGAAATAAACATACATATAGCTAGTTGTACAAGCTACCAAATCCCAAAAGTCATCTTCATCGTCCAAATACTCTTTAATTAGGAGAAGCTTCCTAATTGTTATATTAGTATCATCCATGCCTACAAAAATACACACCATCTTATTTTAGCTTAAAAATAATAAATAATATTAATAATATAGCACAACCATAAAATGTAGATAAACAACCCATATAGCATAATTTCATAATAATGAAAATGATTCAATCCAAACATTGCAAACATAAATACTAAACTAATAAAATATCCAAAATATGGATAATGTTGAGGCATTTAGCAGTGAGGAAAGCATAAGTTCATAATATAGTTTGAAGAATAATAAAGATTCCAAAACATGGCAATCCACAACATCAATTCATAACTGCGTTAAAAAAATACTAATGTAAACATAGTGATGCCTTTTAAATCCTGTTTCGCTCAGCATACACAAACTTGATGTACTCAACTCTCATCTTGTCATTTGGTAAACCAAGAAGAATAGACCTTTTCTGTGGATCCTCGATCATCGTGCAAGCAAAATAGAATTCAGGTGTGCTCGGATCTAGATCCAAAGCACACAATTTTCCTAATGCATCAGTAATTTCGCCATCTTTAGGTTTGACCATTGAGTCCATAACACTCATGATAGACATATGCACTCCCTTAGATGTATTATTCCTTTCTCCAATGAGTTGCATCATGCTATCAAGTTTCTCACCCAAAGATTTTGTTTTACCAGCCCTTTTCGAGGTTTCAATCCTTGCACTCTTATTAGATTGTGGTGCATCATTCACTACAACTCTTTTGTTGTTCCTTGTTTCATACCTTTCATTTTGTGTACCTATAGGAGATATAGGAGGGGGGCTATCGACTCTCCAAACATCATCCCAGGCTTCACGGGTACTACCACCATATGTAGCATCTATATCATCAACATGACTACCAGGAGTATCAGTACGAGGTGGAGAAGGAACATCCACATTATCATCTTCAGTTTGCATATGACCTTCTGGAAGATCAGACACCGGAGTGTATTTTAAAGCACCTTGAGCATAAAATCCAAACATTTGATCCATCTTATATTCTAGTTCAGGTTCAATTCCTTCTTCGCGAAATGCCTCAAATTTTGAATTCTCCTATAAAAAATTAAAGTTTAAAATAATCTCTAGATACTTATAATCCAAGCACATACTATAACAAAAAAAAAACTAACCTTAATCTTCATGTTCCACCACTCATCAGTAGCATCAACAGTACTTTTTACAGGATCCCATCCTAATCCCGTCTCCTTTCCTTTCAGTAGTTTCCAAAGACCCCACTTATGTCTCATCCAATCCACCTTATGCTTAAGTTTTACTTTATCCCAATGAAGGTTTGTATGTTTTACAAAATCGGCTTCTATTCTCTTCCATACCAACCTTTGAGAAGTTACTCCACCAGTTTTTCCCTTACTCTTTTCAACATTTTGTAGGCAGAGGTCGCAGAGGAAGTGCATTAACTCTTTTGTCCAAGTAACTCTACCTATAGTTGCACTTTGCTCACTTTCGTTGTTCTTATTTCGAGCAAGATTCATCTAATAATATATCAATAAACTAATAATTTGAGAAACATTATACCACATAAAATATATTGTACATGTGAAGTAGTTGTTCAAAAAAACTAATAAGTACTAACCAATACTTAGCAGACAAGCATAAAAATCAAAGGCATTTCAATGAATGAATATAAAAAGGACTACAAGCATCTATTAACTCCAGTATCCTACATCCTCAGAAACTACATCCTTGAAAATGAAATAAACTGGTGGGTTACAAATCATGTTACAATTGCTCTCCGTTGTACCCAAATTCATAAATAGTACCGAGAGACATACACCAAAGCGAATGATTAAGTTACCGGGACTATTCTTCTATTTTACATTAGTAGTATTACATTAGTATTAGAAAAAATTCTAATACTGGGAAACGGCTGTGTTTTGTTTTAATTTTCAATATTATTCGAGGTATCAAATAAAAGAGCTCAATATTACTAAAAGAGCTCAATATTACACCAAAGAGAATGAATGTCCTGTCCAATATTATTCAAGGTATCAAATAAAAGAGCTCTCTGATCAAAAGTAAAAGGTAAATGATAAGATAAAAATGCACAAGTCTTAAAGCTTTTTAGATGATGGCTGGCTGTTGGAGATATATTTTTAAACAAATGATCTGTATGAAAATATGTGCTTCAAACTTTAAAAAGTTTGTGATTTTGTACACCATTAAAGTTCAGTATATAAATTAATTGGTAAATAAGGATTCTTGTTGTACCTTTTTCAACTTACGATTGAAAAATACCAGAGTAACAAAACCATACATATGATTCTTGTATAACAGAACTTACGTTAAAAAAACACCATTATATTTACTAATTGGTAAATAAGGATTCTTGTTTGTACACTATATATATGATTCTTGTTTGTGATTCTTGTGTCATGGTTTAATAAAATACCATGACACTTTCTCATATCCAACAAAAAACGCAGAGCAACAGAACCATATATACCATAAACATATATCCCTGACCTCACCTGTTAATAGCGTAAGAGGTAGTTAAGCAGAAAATCATGGACCTTAAAGGTATTCCTCGTGTGCTAGAGAAAGAAGCCGTTCCCCAGTAGAGTAATGGGTAACAGCAACTCCTATGCAGCCATGCATTAGTCTCAGAGATCAGAGCATGGCATAAGAATTTGAAATAGAATGTAATGATGAGAATGTGAAAGTCAGATACCTTTGCAGAGCTTCACGTACAACTGCGTTTTGTTTTAATTCAGGCGTAGAAGAATAGAGAATGAAGTGA